AAGGGCTGGCAGGGGTGTGGGTGCTGAGCACCACAACACAGCGTCCCCCAGCACCACCCGAGCCTGCTGTCCCCAGCCCACGGTGACATCCCCCTTGGCAGGAGGCTCTGGGAACTCACCCCCGTGGGCTTGAACTTCTGCCACATGTAGCTGTCCCGGGAGCCCCGCTCGTACCGGTACGTGGGTGGGAAGGAGATGTCACCCTCACCTGGGAACCAAGGCATAGAGGTGACACGGGGTCCGTGTCCCTGTCCCCTCAGCTGCAACTGGCCAGGGAGAGTCCCCATGGGGTGTCACGGTCCCCATCTGGGGCTCACACTGATAGCACCCCATGGCCCTTCTGACTGTCCCCAGGCTCTCAGGACACAGATCCCAGGGACCTGGCGTGGAGGGGCAGGTTGCACGTTGATGCTTTTGGCATCTCAAGTGGAGCTGTGCTGGGACAGGGCAGCGCCGTGTGCCAGAGCTCTGTGGGGACACCGGGTGACATTGTCCTGGGGGGGAAGGGGAGCAGCACCCTTGCCCCCTCACTCACTGAATCGCAGGAACACCTTGTTCTTCTCCCTCTCCAGGTTGAGCTGGTCGACAGCCAGGAGGGTTCCAAACTCCCTCTTGGTGATGTGAGCCAGGACGTCCTGGGGGGAAGGCGCGGTGAGCCCGGCTCCCCTCAGCCCTGCTCCAGCACCACCGCCAGCCCCTGGCCGCCGGGTCCCACCTGCACGTCCATGTCCAGGCGGTAGTTGAGGTCCCCGAACCAGAAGAGGTGGGTGAAGCGCAGGGTGAGGTCGAAGGCGCTGAGCCGCTTGTCGCCCAGCGCCAGGGAGCGCAGGATGTCGCTGTAGCTCTGGTTGCGCCTGCAAGGGGGGACAGCAGCAAGCTCATCCTTCCCCTGCCAGCTGGGGACAGGGGCAGTGTCACAGCTCCCCCGAATCATCCACCTGCCCCCCAAGAAGCCCCATTTCCCCCCGCCCCTCGGTCACCTCTGGGTCTTCTCGCTGCCAGAGGCCAGGTGACAGTTGACGAAGCCAAAGGAGGTCCCATTGAAGAGGAAGGAGACACCCACAGCTCCCTTGTTCCCTGCAGGGATGTGCCAGGCACTTGAGCTCCACTACGTGTAGTGGTCTTGGGGGATGGTCCCTGGGGAGCCCTCCACTCCATCCCCATCCCTACCCAGCGTGTTGGCGATCCCGGTCTTCACGCTGGAGCTGTGGACGTGGCTGATGCGCCGCTCGTGCTCCGGCTTCACCAGCACCACCATCTTGATGCTCCAGAGGCACTGCAGGGCCACCTGGGAGGGGTGCAGGGGGGGTCAGCCTGCCCACTCCCCCCCCACACTGCCCCACAGCCGAGTGGTGGGGACAGAGAAGCAGCAAGGTCAGGAACCCAGCCCTGCAAGGTGGCTCCTGGGGAGGACACTCCCTGCATGGGGTCCGTGGGGTGTAGGAGGTTCCCTGTGTTGCATGCGGGGTGGGAGGAGGGCCCTGTGTGTGAGGGTAAGAGCCCTGGGATGATGGCTACTGGAAACCAGTTCCCTTTAGCCTGCTCAGCACCGGGTGCCCCCCAGAGGGGTCCAGGCTGTGCCGTGTTACCACGCGGTAGTCGATGCCCATCAGGGTCTTCAGGGAGGTGCGGAGGAACTCGACCCACTCGCGGTCACCCAGGGAGTTCTCCTGGGTACCAACCACATAGATGTCGTGGGGGATGCAGGCGGTGGTCTCATCCTGGGTGTGCCCCAAGCCCCTGGAGGTCAGCCAGGAGGCCAGGGAGCGGGGTGGTGGCGTGCTGCCTGTGGGCAGGGGACACTGGTCACTGAGGAAGGACACAGCACGCCATTCTCCTCCAGCTCCTCTCCAACCCCAGGCTCTCCCTTCAGGAGCCACCAGTGCTGGGAAGCATCATGCCAGCCCCGTGGTTCACATCCTAGGCTGATGCTGGGATTTACTGCTGCCCCCCCAAAGCACCCCAGTACCCCAGCTCCTCCATTTTCCTGGCAGCCACCAGGTGAGTGGGTCACGAAGGGACAGCCAAACCCAAAAGCAGCTAGGTCGGGGTCTTCTCCAGCCTCCTCTTCCCACTAAAGACCAGCTCAGGTTTCCTGGGGCAGCTCCCTGCAGCCCTCACCTCCCAAAACCCACCCAAGCTGATGATGAGCCGTGACAGCCTCGCAGGACAATGCCACCTTGTCCTGGCCCCTTACCCATGTTCCACGTCCCAACGTACACCGAGATGAGGTCAGGCTCATCCAGGTTGGAGTGTTGGATCTTCATCAGCTGCAGCAGCTGGCAAAAGGCCTCTCGCTTCTGCAGGGCAATCAATACAGGTGTCTCAGGGTCCCAGAGGGGAGCTGGGAGCCACAGCACCCCAGAAGATGCTGGTGGTGGGATCAGGGGGACATCAACCCCAGATGTAGGAGCTGGTTTGCAGGGGTGGTCTCAGGGTTGAGACCCTGGTGCTGCCTCACTACATAACAGCATTCCCCTCCCAGCAGGGAACTTACCCGTGCACTGGGGAAGACAAAGTCTCTGCTCAGGCTCTTCTGCAGCTCCCGGTCGTACACCAGCCTCACCTTGCTCTGCACGCTCAGGTACTTGATCAGCTGCAGGACTGAACAGGTGTGAGGGCAGCTATGGAGGTACCCACGCCCATGGGAACTGCAGGCAGTGTGGGGTGGGGGCTTGGGGTGTGATGGGGTCTGCAGCCCATCACCCCGGCGGCAGGCCCGTGGGGGGGAATCCTACAGCCCTGCTGCAGTGGGTGGGGGGTCAGCAGCCCCTTACTTCTGTCCTGTGGGATGGTCTCCTCTGGCGATGTGCTGCCCTTCTTGGTGATGGTGACCGTGCCCAGCTCCACGTCCACTGTCAGCACTGCCCGCTGTGACTTGCCCACCTTCACCTGCAGATGGGAACACAGCTCCTGGTCAGCCCCCTGCCTGCCCTGCCCCAGCAGTGACTCTGGGGTCCCACCATGCCCCCCGCCCTCACCTCGAAGCTCTGCACGGCCAGGGGCTTGGCAGCCCTCCGGGGGGCTGCCACCAGGCTGGGCAGTGCCAGGTTGTGCCTTGACGCCCTCTCCTTCAGCGACTTCAGCACCTGCCGGGGAGATGGGCACTGGTCTGGGGGCACTGGCCTAACTGGGAGCCCTGGGCACCCTGCACCAGTGCATCCCACCCCAAGGGGCAGCCTGGGGCTGTGCCACCCCTGGCAGCTGGCTTGCTGGAGGGTTTCGTTTGGGTGAAGGCTTTGCTGGAGCAGAGAGGGGTTGGCAGCAGCCATGCTCCTCCAGCCTGGCACGGTGGGGCAGAGCAGGCACCTTCTTCTCCAGCGAAGAGAGGAGGTGGTTGACGGTCGATATCTTGTTGAGGAGCAGCTCAAGGTCTGGATCGCTGGTCAGGAGACTCTGTGGGGAGGGATGGACACGTTTGGAGCAGTGCAGTGGCACAGGACTGCTGCATGCCTGCCCGCAGGTCTAGGCTGCACCCCAAGGTCCCTGGGGTCTGGGGGCAGAAGCAGCTTCCCCCCCTGCTGCAGCCTGGGTCAGGAACAGGAATGAGTCCCTGCTTGTCCCCAGGCCACGGGCAGCCAGGTCCCTCAGCAGGCTGTGGGCACCCAGGCACACACAGCACCCAGACACCATCAGCAGCACCCCGGGGCACGGCAGGCTGGGGGCTGTGCTGGCCTGGGGTGGGGGGCTCACCTGCTCCCTGGCTGGGCTGCGAGGGGACATAGGGGGGTCAAACACCCTGGCCAGCATCTCCAGACCTGCCAGCGTGAAGTCGATCTCACTGCAGAGGAGAGGAGCAGGTGAGAGCCAGCTCTGCCACCCCCCGAGCTGGGGTGGTGATGCTCAGCCAGCAAGGGAGGCTGGGGCCAGGCAGGTGTCCCCAGAGCCCAGGGAGGTGTCCCCAGGGCCAATGGAGGTGTCCCCAGAGCCCAGGCAGGTGTCCCTAGAGCCCAG